CCAAGCGACAGAAGACAGAAAACGGGGCATCGGCATGAGCTCCCTGCCAGCGGGCTGGGGGTGGGAGGCTCCCCCAGGGCCTGGAAGTGGGGTGGGATCCGACCCCAGCCACTCTTAACCTGGCTCCCTGCTCTGGCCCTGCCCAGGGCTGTCCCCCTCCCCCCTCCCAGCTTCTCGTTTTCACCTGTCCACACACAGCCCACCCCTTCTGCTATGTCCCCTCCTGCCCTGCTCTCTCTGAGCTCCCAGCTGGTCCCCAGTGGCTCCTCTCCCCCTTGCTCTTGTCCTCCCTCCCCCACCAAACCCACCCTTCTCTGGTGACCTCCCTGACCTCTGCACCCCCCAGCCTCGCGTCCTGCCCCATCCTTATCCTGCCTGACCCCTGGATCCCCATCAGACCCCTCTTTTCAGACAGCGCCAGGCCGGGGTGGGGCCGGGGTTGGGGCCAGAGCCCCACAGCTGCCCCCCTCCCCTCCCCTTTTTGTATAATTTAATAAAGAAATGGTCGCGCTTCTGTTTTTAACCTGTCTCCTGCTTTCCCGGAGCCCAGTCAGTGCCAGGACAGGGTAGAGGAGGGGAGGGTGGCCGACCTCACATTCTGCCAGAACCTCGCCCTTCCTAAGGAAGCATCAGTAGTCCCTACCACCTGCAGCTCCAGAAGACACTGCAGGGTGGACCAGGAGCCAGGCTGGAGAGCTACCCTAGGTCCTGTTTCGGATTCTTGGGGATGCACCTCCCCGTCAGTACACACGCTTCCCTGCGAACCCACACAGGACCCAGGCACTGCTGAGCCCAGTGGAAAGCTACCAGCGCTATTGTGCTGAACCAGGCAGATAGAGCCAGCCCCAAACAGGAAGTCCCGCCCCTGGAGTGGGAGAGGGCTGGTAGGCCTGGGTCTCAATCTCCAGGATCCGGAGTAAGCTGCCTGGCACTAAAGATGCCTTCTGCCTGGCATGGAGGAAGCACGCGCCTTCCTGTTAAGCAAGGGAGAACTCGGGCTACTGTGGGTCACACACATGTTGCCAGGTCCTGTCACCTGTCCTCCAACTCTCCCAGCTGGGCTGCTGGTCTAGGCTGGGAAGCAAGAGTTCACTGTCAAGCTCAGGCTTTTTCTAGAGCTGCTAGCTCCTTTTTTATTATTTTGCTATAGGGAATGTGTGTGTGCTTGCTGGAGAGAAGAAGCAAGAAAGTGAGACATCATCCCCTAGGGGTGGGGTGGCTACACAGTCCCTTCATTCCCAGGATTTGGGGCATGCATGCACATGTGCCCAGCATGTTTCTGAAGCCACCAGATCCGGGACTCGAACCGTACAGTCAGCTCTGTGAGATCCAGCTGTCTTCACCACCACACCATCTCACTGTTTCATTTGAATGTGATTTCTGTTAACAGATTACTGTATTTCTCTATCTCTCAGCTAAGAAATTCTGGATTGGGGGAAGCTTTTGAGTGTGTGTGTGGCGGGGAGTGGGGGGAAGGCTTTGGCTCATTGACAACACCATTCTTTTCAGGAGACACCCAGAATGCTTCCAGTGTCAGGGCTAAATCAGACACACACACGCACACACACACACAGCTTCTGCTTTCACAGGGAGAATTGACCTCGGCAAATTCCTTAATCTCTGTGAGCCTCAGTCTTCTCATCTGTACAATGGGTAAAATACTGGATTTCACAGTTACCAGGTGTAACATGCCCGGCACAAAATAAGGGCTCCATACCACGGGGCTGTCCCCGTCCCCCAAGTTGGATGCCCTGAGACCTACCTTTTAGGGTGCAGCAAAGCTTCCTATCCACCCTTCTCAGAACACACTGGGCGTAAGTGGGAGGCAGGTCTACAGGGGTAATGAGGTCAGGGAGGACCTCGGTCCGGGAAAGGGCTTACCATGTAGGAAGTGGACGTTGGACCGAGATGGACCAGGGGCTAGTTGCCGGTTTGTGGAGGGCAGAAGGTCCCCAGGAAAGGGAGCAGTCTGAAGGCTGGGGGAGGGCTGAGGAGGGGGCGGTGGGGACACCCGGGGCTGAGGAAGTAAACAAGGGGAGCGCCACCACCGGGGTGGGGGTGGAGGGTGATGCTGCTGGGAATCAGCCCCCTCAGACTTTCCACTGCGAAGCGAAACCGTGAGCCCTGGGGGGTGGGGGGCGGGCAGCGGGGAGGGGAAGTGGGGACGGTGGTGGGAAGCAGAAGGACAAGGGCGAGGGCCAGGGGCAGCAGAGCAGCATCCCAGCTCCTGACAGCCACCTGCTGCACCGGGCCCCATTCCCTGGGACCTCTAACCTCACCCAGGAGGCCTGGTCTGGCCAGCTTTCCCCAGCTTCCAGCCGCTGAGCCTGGTCCCTCCCCACTCTCTCCAGTCCTCCCTCCTGGTCCCCCTTCCTCTAGAGTCCCTTCCTCCGCTTCTCTCTTTGCAGAATTTCTTCATCCCAAGCCCCTCCCCTTTTCCTGACCTCCTCCCTTGGGTGGGCTCCACCTGGCCCAGACCAAAGGGAAGATGTGGGAGGCTCAGTTCCTAGGCTTGCTGCTTCTGCCACAGCTGTGGGTGTCTCCAGGTAAGATGGGATGGTGGAGGGGGTGGCCTCCAGACCCACAGGAGGGGGCCA